AACATCTTCGCCTTTTCATTGCATTTTCCAACTTAGTTTCCGCTACACCCCGCATTATTTCTTTTATCCCTCAAATGACCTTGAGGTCTGCTCCAAACAATAGTATCTCATCCTGTGGTATGGGTGTGATGTGATCTCCTTTTCAGCCAGCTTGCCGCACGTCCCTGAGGGTCAGCCTGACGCTGGAATCGACAGGCAAGAATTATGTCATAGTGAGAACTCGAACCCGCAACATCATTGAAATGCTATCTTGGGTACAAAGAGTACTAAACACTCGAGTAGCTCTGCCCTTTTTAACCTCGGCTATGCTTGACCTACGCAAATCTGAGAATGTATTTTACCTGTTTTCCTTCGTGAGAAAAGTCTAATATTTTTGTTCTGCTTAAAATCTTCTAATTCTGCTTAGGTCCTATCAAGCAGCCGAAGTGATGTTTGACCCAACAATGCAAAACAGAAATGAAGATCTAGTGGCCGGTCTGATTATGGTCACGGTAAGGATTATTTTGCCTCTCAATTCTTGTCTCTCATCTAATATTTTTCTTGTTCAGGCCGCAGGTCTTGGTTGCATTATTAATATAACTGTCATGACAATGATAGTCAAAACTCCATTTTTTCACAATGCATACGGCTACATATGCTTCTCACATCTTATTGCTGATACGGCTATACTTCTTACTAATGTCTTCTGGGGTGGACCAGTGACATTTCTGTGAGCAAAACATGGACTTTGAAGGACTCCATTTCTAGAGGAAAACAGAGATAATTTGATTTGATCAGTCAATTTAGAATTCTCGACGATTCCATTACAAACACTTTCATTGGGGCAAGGATTGGTCAACTTGTGAACTTCTTTTGGTTTGAAGCCTTTTACTGCCATCTCCAGGTTGCCATTAATCGTTTGATCGCGGTCGCTTGGCCTTTTGCATACAAGTTGGTTTCTCAAAGTATTTGTGTTCTTACTTTGCTTTAGAAATTTCCCAATAGAAAAGGCATACAGCTTACCTCAAGAAAGCAATGTTGTTGGCACGATAAATTTTGTCAATTTTAAATAAGAAAAGTGGATTTATTTACAAATTGGAAAAAGTGCACTTTTGAGCTGAATGTTATTTTTCTATTTCGTAAAAATTTCTGAAATTTCCAGAACACCGTAGAGAGAAAAGAAGTAGCATTAAGACATTATCAGACATTGCAAACGCAATCACGTTAGATAACATTGTTAGGATATGAAAAATGATTATTTGATACTTATTTGATTGTCTGGTATTGTCGTGCCCGATGTTTGGGTGAGCAACAGTAATACTAGTTAACCACGAAAATCAAGTTACGTACTGCCTCAAAATCAAGCGCCTCAACATAATTTTCAAACAGCAAGTTATTTATCTAAAAACAGTCTGTCCTTAGTCTGACAAGGTCTAATCAGACAACAATGTTTGTTCTCAAATTTTCGTTTTTTGTATAATTTAGGAGTTCATTGGTTTTCAAAAAAAAGTAAAAAAGTCAGCGGTCGTGCTATCATGTTTTCAAAATTCCAGCAGGCTGTTTGCTGGAAGGAATTTGGTCGT